TAATTTTTTATTCCTTGGCATATACACTCACTCTTTGAAGTTGTCTATTTTCTTGTAGTGTTATATATTTCCCAAAAATGAGAATTACGTCAAAAGCTTTTCGTGTATCATGGCTGTTTTTCCTCTTAATCTTGTCGTTAGGAGTCTTTACGAAGTCTGAAGAATCAGATTTTATCATTAGAGATGTTAAACTAGCAGTCACAGACAACGAAGGAGTCCGAAAATTATCGCAAATGTTCGTGTTTTTTGGGAAGCTGATGAATCTGCATAAACTAAATTTATAGACTAAATTGAATTGATCTCAACTTTTTACTAAAGTTTAGAATATCCATCACCGCTCTCCGCGTTACTAAAATTGAATCGAGATGATAATTTGAAAATGATATTAACAATACTAGATGCAAAGACCGAGAAACCCATTAAACCACATCAAGTATTCTTATCCTTTAAGCATAAAGAAAATGGGTCACAAGTAGCATTAATAGTGCAAGTTCGTGATAGTGGTAAAGCGCGTATAGAATTGGTGAGTGTCAATTTGTGTCAAACAATCCACCATAATACTATTTTACTAGCCTCAACTGAATGATAATATTCCGATACAGGATATGAAATCTGCACCAACAGAACTTTTATTGGGACCGGCAAACTATGAAGTCAACTTAATTATCGGAACCTTTTCACGTAACAATTCAATCAAATATCGAATTGGCGAAGCTCAAATAGACGTGCCTGAGAAGACCCTACCACCGCCATCCCCAAGGTTTGGACCTCTTCCGGAAATTCATCATATTTTTGGAAAGCCTGAACGCATGCCACCTTCATGGCTTTCGTATGGTTTTGTGCTAATTGTATTTGCTCCGTGGATTAGTCTAATAATCTCGGTAAATATTAAAAAAAATTATTTTTAAATTGGTAATTGAAACGCGTAATTAATTTATTTATTTACTTTAAGTGGTCATACCTTAATGTAAATCTGTCATTCCTGACCAATGCACCAAACGGCGTTATTTCCTCGATTTGCTTTTTAGCTTCGTTGGTTGCAATCGAGATTCTTTTCTATAATTATTGGACGCATCTTAATATATTCCAGACTTTATCATGGTTATCGGGTTTGAGTCTTTTGGCCTTTTTTACCGGACAAAAAGCATTGAGCGATATTCAAGGGTGGAGACTCAAAGGGCTACGGTGATCTATAGGGGCGGATGTTACATTAAAATAGAACTTAATTTATAGTATACAAAAAAGAACATTGCATAATACGACGTAATTTGTTTGTTGATCATCCAAACAGGTGGCTTTCTAATAAAAAATTTTTTCTCGTTCAAAAAAAACTGGCCTTCCGTTTAACAAACAATAATATTTTTTGTTAAAAAAAAATTGTGAATTTGGTAGCGTGTGCGGGATCTCGAGGATCTCATATCATTCAATTCTCGGCGAGCTACGAAGTTAATCTCAAGGGTTGTCTTACGTTCAAGGCTCAATGGTATTTTATTTTAATCAAATTACGAGATGAAATAAATAAAATACAAACAATCTGTTATTATCTTCTGTTGATGCTGCCAGAGACTTTCTCTGGTTGTGTGTGCTAGGGAAGAAAAAGAAAACAATAAAGAAAGAGAGAAAATCAAAAAGGAAAAATGAAAGTGAAGGATCAAAGAAAATATTAAGAAAGGAAAAGAACAAAAAAAGAAAAAAAAGTGAAAGGAAAATAAAAAAATGAACAAAAAAAGAAAAATAATAATAAGGCAAGAGGAAAGAGAGAAATGAAAATAGTGGATCAAAGAAAATATTAAAGAAAAAATTAAAAAAAATAAAAAATAAAAAAAATAAATAATTAAAAATCAGAAAAAAATAATATAAAGAAAAAAATTAATCTACTAATAATGTTATATGTAATGGAAATTCTTGTTTTAAGTTTACTATGATATAACTTAAGAGAATTTGTTAAAATTACTTGAAGAAGAAAAGATAAATATTATTATATTCAGAATACTCCCTTTTTTGAATTTTTCAATTTTGTAAAATATATCTGATATTAACTTGTAAAGATTATAATAAATATTTTTGATTTATATCTGCATAATATGCATTATATATAAAAAAATATTGCAATCTTGCTTATTTATATAAAGATTAAGAAAGATAACTATATGTTATTAGCTTTTATATTATTTTAATTAAGTAATATATATTTTAATCTCTATTAGAAAGTGAATTTTTGAATTATTTTTAATTTCATTATAATAACTTTATTATAAGTAAAATTAATTAATATTAACTATTCATAATATATTATATTTTTTAATTATATTAAATTTATAAAATATAATTCTTAATAGAATATTTTAATAAAAAAAAATTCATATAATTTTTTTTTGAATTAAATATTTATACATATTCTGAATATTAATATTTAGATTGATATTTTTATAAAATATAAAATTATCAAATCTATAAGTTTTGACTTAATATTTATAATTTTTTAAGTTTATAAATATTTAATATTTAAATTTATATAAGTTTTTGTAATTTATTTT